ATTTCTGGTTTACGTTTAGCGTCATCACCAACCATATATCTGAATTCATTGTAGATATCAGAATGACAGCTTTATTTTTTTTAGGAACGTAGGAACACATGTTAACCTTTTCGTGAAATCCAAAAACTGTCGAATACTGCTCCTGTGTCTTATTTGCTGCCATAACACTAGGGTTGTAAGGTTAATTCTTTTTTAGCGTGCCAACAATGGTAATATTCCACGACCACAAATGTTTAGCAACTGGTACAGTAGTAAAGAAGTTATCCATGCAGATGTTTCTACCACTATCTCGGTACGGAGCCGCCAATTCTTTCACTACTCTTTCACCCTGATTTTTTTCTCAAGTATTATCTGTTTTACCAGTGTACATAATCCCTTGCAAAGGATATGCGTTTTCTGCATCACAAATCCACCAGATCTTTATACCATACTTAGCTGGTTTCGATGGAATATATTGAGTAAATCCAGTACGGCCACGGTATGGATAAAGCTGTTCATCAATCGTCAAGTTAGCTGTTGGTTTCTACATATGAGCTAAATTTGAATTCAACATCACATTGAGTCCACACATCACGAATTGGAGCTGCCTTGTCTTCTTTTTTACGTTCACTTCGAGTATTACCATCGTCGAATCGCAAAAAACGCAGATTATTATGGAGTCTCGTCAATCCCATCGTCGCGCGATACAGCGGATAAGAATTGGAGTGCCTCATGTCAAATGTATGATCTGTATTCGAATTATTTGCTCCAGCACAAATCAAGATATCGAAGAACGAATAAATTTCGGGTATCGTAACGGGCTTCCATTGATGCTGTGAGTTTGGATGGTTAGCATTGTACTTGGAAAATTGTTTTAGCTTTTTTATTAGTGTGACGGACGATTATATCAACCATCTCGTAGGTAAAATTTTTTTTGAAAGTCTCGCTAATGAGGCCCACTCCGCTGGCGTACAACATTATGAGCTGCGGTCTGATGCTGAGTTGATGGAGTTTCGGAGTTTTGTTCCACACTCTTTTATCTTTGGAAATAAAACTCCCAGAAGGTTCTTGAGCTCTTCCTAAAATAATAATAACAACATTAATTAATTATTTAAGAAAAAGAGTTATTATTTCAATCATTGCTAAGAACAAATATTTTATTACCTTCAGGTTCAGCTGTTTTTACTTCATTGTCCCCACTCTCGCTACTCTCACCTTCTTCTTCTTCTTCTACTGCTGAATTCTTTTCTTCTGTATCTTCAGAATCTTTTGGTTCGTCACGCACTGAATTACCTTGTTGATTTTGATGTCTAGCTCTATTTGCTGGAATCCAGTCTTCGTCATCGCTATCAGAAACCCTACTCGAATCACTGTCGTGTTCTTCAAGTAGTTTCCTCAAGTACTCATTCCTTTTGGTTGCACTTAACCTAATAATTAAATATTATGTGATATACGTCGTAAATAATTATAATTATATTACACAAAATTGTAATTAAAATATTTACAAATGTTAAATATATGTGGCAACATCATACACTACCGACACGCTACAACTATGTTGTACTATGTTACCGACCGTCAAAACGCCGTCAATTTTCAGATGGTACAACAAGGTGAAAATAACGCGCAAACATCGTCACCCCCTAACGTTCGACAGGCAGTGCAACCGCAAAGCATTTTGCCTAGATCATCAATCGAGGTGCATCAGCCCGTATTCCACGTGGCTATGGTACCACGCATAAGCCCACCCAATATGAACGAAACAAACATCGAGTCGTATTTTTTGTCATTGGAGTTCTGGTTCGCAGCTACCGGTGTGACACATGAAACAAGGAGATACAACCTGGTCATGGCACAAGTTCCTCCAAGCAAGCTAATGGAGTTAAAGAGCAGTCATCGATTCAGCACCTTCGCTTAACCGCTACGACTACATTAAATCCAAACTAATACCACATTTTGCTGACAGCCAACAACGTCGCGTGCAACGTGTTTTTTTGGATATGCCCTTGGGTGACGTCCAACCAGCAATAAGCGCCCCAAAGCAGGCCAGCGATGAGCCAATTACATTGCAAGAAATCCGAAACGAAATCGCTCAGCTTACGAAGCAGATAGAAGTTATCAAATCGCGACGACCAAGGAGCCGCAGTCAAAGCCGACAGAGACACTAACGATATGTGCACCAGGAGTCTACGCATACGAACGAGTTATGTTGGTATCACCATAGGTTCAGCGCCAACGCTCGAAGATGTAGGAAATCTTGCTCATTCAACAACCTGGAGAAAAGCAAATGACTATCTGCATCGAAGCCTGCAATGCACACCTGTAACTTACGTCCTGCAGTCACACACCGCCTGAAATTTTTTGACGGGCTCTCTAAACATAATTTTTTGATAGACACCGGAGCAGACGCCTCCATAATTCCTAAAATCGTCCAAAACAACATGAAATCATCGACGGTAAAGTTATACGCTGCGAACGGTACACCGTTGACCGCATACGGCGATTCTTTTGGAATTTTCTCATCGCTGACGTTACGTGCGGAGTTATAGGAGCCGACTTTATAAGCCACTATGGGCTACTGTTCTACTTAAAAAGGAAACGAGCGTCGATAGGAAAACTTGTCAGTAGCGAAGCCTCAGTAAAAACATTTGACACGTCCTGCGAATATACGGGCTTACTTAAAGAGTTTGGTAACATAACACGGTTGCCGCAACTCGGAAGCCCAGCTATGTCCGAAGTGGTCCATCACATAGAAACTCGTGTTTCGCCCTTATCAGCACGACCAAGATGTCTTTCTCCAGATAAACTGGCAGCGGCTAAGGCAGAATTCGATAGTCTAATAAAACTGGGCATTTGCCGTCCATCGTGCAGCAGTTGGGCTAGCCCTCTTCACATGGTAAAGAAAGCAGACGGTATATGGCGGCCATGTGGAGATTTCAGATCACTCAAGACCGTTACAATCCCAGACAGGTATCCAATACCATATCTTCAGGATTTTACTAGCAATTTAAGAGGTAAGACGATCTTTTCCAACATCGATCTACAAAAAGCCTTTTATCAAGTTCCTGTAAATCCAGAAGACGTACCGAAAACGGCAATCATCACACCTTTCGGCCTATTCGAATTTTTGTATATGCCCTTTGGTCTTCGTAATGCAGCGCAGACATTACAAAGGCTTATACACGCAGTCCTACAAGGACTAGATTTTGTATTTCCGTACATGGAAGATATCTGTGTAGCATCATCATCTCGAGAGGAACATCTATTACACCTTCACCGATTTTTTAAACGTCTACAAAAGCACAATTTAGAGAACAACGCTGTCTTCGGAAAAACGGAAATTATCTTTTTAGGTCATACTGTCTCAGCAGAGGGAATAAGACCACTAAGGCATCGCGAACAAGCTATTATAGATCTTGAAAAACCAACTACCGTCAATGGCTTCAAGCGATTCTTAGCCACAATTAACTTCTACAGACGATTTATTCCACACGCCATCGAAAAGCAAATACCACTGTTAGCCATGTGCCCTGGAAACAAAGAAAATGATCGCTATCAGCTCCAATACATGCGGATACAGCCGCAGGAGCTGTTTTGCACCAGGTAACAGGAAGCAACTTTGAAGCGTTAGCATACTTCTCCAAAAAATTCGACAAAACTCAGGTACGTTACAGCAATTATGACAGAGAACTCACAGCGATGTTTATGGCCACTTTAAATACATGCTGAAAAGACGAACCTGTCACATATATAGCGTTCATAAACCACTAATCTATGCATTCAAGAAATATCCTGAAAAATGCTCGAGTCGTCAAACTCGCCAGCTTGATTACATTTCTCAAAATAACCACAAATATTCGCCACGTAGAGGGGAAAGCTAATGTAACAGCTGACATGCTTTCAAGAATAGCACAAATTCACGCAACTAGCATAGACTACTACAAACTTGCCGAAGACCAGCAAGTTGATCAAGAGCTCAAATTCCTTCGCCAGAACAACAGTAATTCATCCTTCAGTCTGCGGTTCGTCAACTGGCAACATTAGACCATTCATTACAAAGAAGTTTCGTGCTGAGGTGTTACGATCAACTCAAGGGCTATGCCATCCAGGTACACGTGCTACAGCGAAACTCCTAACCAGCAGATTCGTCTGGCCTGGAATCCAAAAAGACAGTATAGCTTTCGCAAGAGCATGCGAGCAATGCCAAAGAGCTAAAATAACTCGACACACATTTACCCCTCTTAAACGCTACGAATCGGGAGACACGCGATTCGATCATATTAACGTCGACGTCGTAGGTCCCTATCCTTTACACGCCGGTAACCGCTACTGTCTCACAATCATTGAACGTGTCTCAAGATGGCCAGAGGCGACTCCCATACCTGACATGACAGCGCCAAACAACGCAAAAGCGGAGTTCCAGCCGTCATTACATCAGATCGGGGTCATGAATTCACATCCACCCTACTTACAGAGCTGACAAGTTCGCTCGGCATAACGCATCTGAAGACAACATCGTATCACCCACAGGCTAACGGAATAGTAGAAAGATGGCATCGAACCTTAAAATCATCAATTTTAAGCATCAACTCAGAACGTTGGACCGACTTCCTGCCTACTATACTCCTAGGCTTACGAACCGTCTACAAGCAAGACTTAGGAGCATCACCGGCCGAACTAATTTACGGTACGATATTGCAAATTCCTTCAGAATTTTTTATACATGACAGCCGACTTAAAACGCAAACAGAATTCGTTACTCGATGCAGAGACGTAATGAACACAATCAGACCATCGAAGATAGCATGGCATGGACAGAGGAAAGTATTTGTGCATCCCGACCTTGCGACTTGCCCAAATGTCTTCGTAAGAAACGATTCAGTTCGTCCATCATTTTCGAAACCTTACGAAGGACTGTACACAGTTTTATCTCGCGCGGAAAAATATTACACAATTGCAATAAAAGGCAAAGCAGAAAACATTTCCATAGACCGATTAAAACCAGCATACCTTCCGTACGAGGATTTATCGCCACCGACCCGTCAAACCATATCAACTGGGCAAGAACGTCGTAAAGTAACCTTCGTTACACAGGACTTACGATCATAAGCGATCGCCCAGTCTGGAGGGGGATACTGTGACAACATCATACACTACCGACACTAAACGTCAAAATGCACAACACTACCGACCGGCAACCCTTTCCTACATTTTTGTATTTAAAGTCATGAGCAACCCCATTTTCCTTCATCCTGCAATTCTTCCCTTTTCTCACGGACACCGAGCTGATCAGACGTGCTAGCAGCAGCAACCATTAAATATATATAACGTTTACTTACCAAGCATAGTCAGCTCTCGATAATTGTTCCATAGCTTTATCTTTCACTGTCAAGAGAACACCAAATGAAACACGATCCCACCAAAAATCTGTTACTCAATAAAAAATGCTCGAATCTAGTGCCCGATAGAAAACAAAGAAATAACCTTGAGTTTTTTTTCTCTCTCAAACGGCATCTGCTCGGCTGCGAACAATAAAAGCTGGCCGACTACCATGGGTGTCCCAACTAGGTTTCAGATGTCATCCACGATTCTACGTTGTTATTTTTCTTTAAATTGTCACTGACTATTAATATTTGAAGAAATAATTTTTTAGGGTAGGTACCCCAGTACTCGGTTGATAAAAGACGTCGGTATAGTTGGTTACTAACATAAGGGTTAATGTTGTCTAGTCTGTCTTTTTCTACTTGTACTGGGTTAATGGTAACTCTTCGTCCGAAAAAGGCTTCTACGGGTTTTTTATTGATGGTTGAATGAATCGAATTGTTATATTTGTGAATGGCTCTGAAAAGTAAATCTTCAAATGAATTATGGGGGTTTTTGCTTTTTATACAGCGCATTATTTCTGTTAATGTACTGTGAAATCGTTCTATTTGTCCATTACGGTACTAGTGTAGGGGGGTGTTTTGTATATCTGAATTCCATATTGGTTTTCTAGCATGAATTTTATTGGGGCTGCACTAAGAGATTTTTCATTATTTATTGCTATGTTTACGGGTATGCAAAACATTGTGAGGAGTTCCTGCAGGGGTAATTTTATATCTTCTGAAGCTCTGGACTTCCCTATCTTTGCCTGAGCATATTTAGAAAATTTATCTATTGCTGTAAGTATAACTTTGTTATTAGTGTGATACAGATCAATGTAAACGATTTGGCCTGGATATTCTGGGATTGGGGAAGCTTTCAATATTGGTTTTGCCGGGTGTCTCTGATATTTATTTTCTCGACAATTTTACATTGTTTTTTGATATTCTTAATTTTCGCGTTCATCTGAGGGAAATAGTATTTTTCAAGTAGTTGAATTTTGTTCTCAATCGCATTCCTATGTGCTCTGTTATGTTCTATTATAATTTCCGTTTCTTGTTCTGATTCATTTGTTAGATCTTTTACTATTTTTCGCGTGTATTTTACTCTATATCTGCTAAAGTAGATAGTAGTGTGAGTAGATATTTTGGATTTTTCCTAAGATGTTGTCTTCCGTTTTTATTGCATTGGTGACTGTAAGATTGAGAAATATTTTTCCATCTTTTTAATTTAGTATTGGTGTTTTTGTTATTGAGGGCATATGTAAATGGCTGGTGATCTGTAAATATTTTGCCTGCGGTTTAGCCGTATAAGTAATTCCGTAATGATTTTAATGACCATATTATTGCTAGCATTTCTTTTTCATTCATCGCGTAGTGTTCTTCTGTTTTCGTCAGTGTTCGTGATATAAAAGTTATTGGTTTGCCGTCCTATTTCAGTATTGCACCTATTGCATATGTAGAGGCGTCGGTTGTTAGGTGAAATTCTTTGTTGAAGTTAGGGAATTCTAACATTACTTCGTTTGAAGTAAGTGAATTATTGATTTTGTTGAATGCTTCTATTGCTTATTTGTTTAGTGTTACTGCTATTTTGGCTGACATATTTTTGGACATTCGTCCCTCTTCCCCTCTCAAAAGAAGAGTTAGGGGTTTCGCGAGTTTGGCGTAATCCTTAAAGAAATGTCTGTAAAAGCCAGACATTCCCAAGAATGACCTAAGTTCTTTTAACGTTTTTGGAATCGGAAATTCACGGATTGTAGCTATTTTTAGTGGGTTAGTTTTTAATCCTTGAGTGGAAACTCAACTAAATACTCAACTTCTGATTTTAAAAATTAGCATTTATTTAACTGTACTACCATATTAGCTGTTTGTAGTGTGTGAAATATAGTTTCTATATTGCGAAGACGTGTTTCTTCGTCTTGTCCAAAAATTATTATATCGTCATTGTAAACGTAACATTTTGTCCCTATGTGTTCTCTAAGTATGTCGTCTAGTCCTTTGAAATATAGCGGGTGCGTTTTTTAAGCCAAATGGTAAACGGGTATATTCGTATT